CGGATCCAAAGCCACTGGCTTCGGGAATCCCGAGACCTCGCGTGCCGTTGGTGTGCGGCCTCGGTAAAATTTCCAAGATTTCATGAACATCAGAGGGAAACACAGCGATTTTTGTGTTTCTGATTGGTGGTTTGGAACATTTGGATTATTTTTTCCATATATTGGGAATTTCATGATCCCAACTGACGAACTCATATTTTTCAGAGGGGTAGGTCAACCACCAACCATGTTTGTTTGTTGATTTTTTAAGTTGAGTTTCTGATCGTAAAGAAAAGCCTGATTTCAGGGTGAAACAAGCAACTTATCCCCTTCATTTTTGTTGATACGTAACACACCTGTGCTACAAGCCACAAGCAATAGTAACCTTGAATCTCTTCAATCTTTCAAAATTTCGCAATTGCGGGTGAACTTTGGCGAACTGGTGGGCGGTTTATGATTGGGTTTTCCACAGTTTTCCACCGGTAAACTGGTAGGATCAAACATCAAGTGGACAGGTCTGTACTGACATTGCTCGGCCGTTTCCCATGAGTTTGGAGTTCCTCAGCATTGCGGAGTGCGCCGCTTGATGTGGAGATATATATTTGGAGGGTTGGGTGGTAATGATGTCTACATGATATGACATGATTATACATGGAAACAATATGAAACAATTGACAATCAATTCTGAATATGCGTGGTTGTAACATGTTTTAACGTTTTAGCTTTGTGGACGCTTCTGTTTCAGGATTTGCACTTTAGTTTCGTTTAACATGAGTTCTTGCCCGGGCTTGCCGATTTTGCAGGTACCAATCCTTCATGCTCTCACTTCAACGACAGGCCGTTCTGAACACCTCTCTCGATTGCTGTGGGACATATTGAATCATATTGCAGCCGCGGGACATTGCTCCCAATTTCTTCATTCGAGAAACACTCCAATAGAAATTTCAGAAATAACTAGAATCGATTCAGAAATTTCTATGGTTTTAATATGTTTTTCATGTTGTTTCAGGTGGGACGAAAGTCACTCACTTCCAGCATTGCAGAGGTCTCCGAGGCTATCGGATAGTGACATTTTGTGGCATTTTGTGATCGACTCAAAGAAATCCCATGGGAGATGGATCTCCAGAAGATGCCGGGGTCAACCAAGCCCAACTTTGGATATGATTGGATAAGACGGAGAATATCATCAATATTCATCAATATCATCCCAAGTATCAAAGTTGGGCATCATCCATTCAACCAGTCATAGTTTAGGCGAACAGCATATCTTTGCACAAGTGATTTAATATGGGAGAGGTCTGTTGCACAATGATACAATGGAAGTGGAAGCACCTGCAGTGAGGTGGGCAGCAAACGATCATCGTATTCTGAATCTTCGCTTCCCCCCAAGGACAAGCTCGATCCCTGAACGTCACTAGCAAGATCAAAGCAATCTGATGGCCCCAGGTCGTCTTTGGGGTTGCACAACAGGGTTAACCGTTAACCCAAGATGACCATGAATTCTCATCAGAAAAAAAAAACATATGTGTATGGTTACCTATAGATACATTTTTAGTGGGATGAACATCCATTTACCAGCTATTTTGGGGTTCACTAGGTACCAGGGTTTTGACCCATCCCCATATGATTGACCTTGCCCCCAAGACATACCCATCTCATCCCATCTCCTAAGGACCCCTAACTTTGCAGGTCGACGAGAGGGCGCCGTATTTGGAGATTTTGTCACCAGACAAAATGCGACCGCCAGCGCTGCACTTGGCAACGCCATGGTCCACCGGCAATTGCAGGATCGCGACATAGGGAAAAATGCTGAGAACAAGGGACAATTTGTGTTGCTGTTCAGTCTTGGTATATTCAATGTTTAAGTGGTACAGTTGTTTGTTCATCTAAATCCTTATCTCCACATGGTCTTTCTTGATGTACCCCATCATCACCATCATCATCATCATCATCATCATCAATAAGCCAAGGTGCAGACCCGAGTGACCTTCGATGAAGAGACGGAGGCGTGACAACCACCAATTGGAATGGGTATGAATCTGGTTGGTGGTTTGTAACATTTGGATTATGTTTGCATATTATATTGGGAATTTCATGATCCCAACTGACTTTCACTCCATCATTTTTCAGAGGGGTGGCGAAAAACCACCAACCAGTTCTATGTTTTTTGGAGGGGAAATGGGACACGGATGGTTTCATCAACTGAAATTAGATGGCCTTGGATCCCATAGGCAATCGTCCGTCCATGTCTGACCAAAAACGTGTTGGGATTTCGCCAAAGAAGATGTAAAAAGTTATGATTAGGCTAGAACCAACCCTATGGCCCTATGAGCTTCAACCAAGATGGGAAACCCAAAAATAGACCCAAAAACTGGTGCAGATGGAATCAGCTGGAAGTTAATTGGATGTCGGTATTTTGGACAGAATCATGATCCCTTTAGCCAGTGGCTGTTTCTGTTTCTGCGGTTTTACAAGTGCTGAAAGATCTGAAAGCACCCATCATTTTGGTGATTTCACCCATCATCAAAAGCAGGATCCCAATGTTCCACCTGGATTTGGGGTCACGAATTTTCAGGAATTTTCATGAATTTTCAGGTCATCCATAGGTCATCCAGATCAACATCAAACTCACCCGGGTGTCGCCTTTTTTATCCTTTCAGGTTCTCCTGATTGACACTGTGGGAGATATCTTGGTGGACAATGTGGCAGTCTTAGCTCTGGCATGGCAGGGTGTGTCCCCCTGTCGTTGTGGAAAGATCAGTGGAATCACTCATGAATCATGAGGATCAATGAATCCATGGCGAATCCATGGCGAGTTTCAGCGATTTTCTCATCCAATTGGTCCGGTTCCAGTGATGTTTTTTAAGTTCACCCCTACATCCACCGGTGTTGAATCTGGGTAAATTATAACGACCTCACTGTGACCGAACCCTGGAATCATGGTTAGTAAGGGAAATCATCCCCAAATGGCCTTAATTCAGGTTGGTGAATTATTATAATTTACCCAGAATGAATGGGATGGGATTGCTTGCGACAGTGCTGAGGCCCGTTATCGTGTGCTGCTGCATCTCAAAGAGGTGCTAGCAGACCTGCCGTTCTGCTGAAATCACGGATCGCAGTCATTGCTGAACGCCAACATGTTTTTGTTTTAGATTCACACACCGTGTTTCATGGTGAACAACCTCGTAAAACCATCATTTTCCCTGGTAAAACCATCATTTTGGCTGGTAAAACCATCATTTTCCGCAGTAAAACCATCATTTTCCCTGGTAAAACCATCATTTTCCCTGGTAAAACCATCATTTTCCCTGGTAAAACCATACATACCTATCCATTCACCGGTTTGGGTGCCACATCAGCCCCGAAAAAACGAGGAGCAGAAGCTGGCCCAACTGGTCACCGGGGTCCGACCGCACCAGTGCCTCGATCCCCTAGCCGGAGAAACTCTGGTTTATCCATACCCATAGGATCCATGTATGGTATATATGGTGCTCCATGGATCCCATCAATATACCCCATTCATGTTAGCATATATACCAGCACCATGGATCCGTCATGGGATATGTATGGTTTATTTAATATACCATAATCAAGGTTTATAATAGGTAAATGTGGTAAATTAAATCATAGTCCAGTGTTGGTGGTTTGGAAATGTTTGGAACATGGCATAAGTTTTTTTTCCATAATACATTGGGCGTAATCCATCCCAATTGACGAATTCGTATTTTTCAAGAGGGATGGCTCAACCACCAACCAGCTATGTTTTTGTAGATGATCACTGGGGATATCCCCATGACTTTGGGGAAAGCCCCCAATATGAAAATCCATATATTTTGTGAACGGGTAGTTTATCAATAGAAACTATGTTATAACAGTAGTCTATTTATGATATATGTCAATATATTCTATAAAACATCCAGAAAATATAGATTGACCATAATTTATCTCAATCTAGTTAGATCTATACATGGATGCATATATATATATGTATATATTCCTATAGTTTTTGTTTGTATTCTATATGTATATTTGAATTGATGCTAGCATTGATATTGATCAAAATCAGACAGTTACAGTGATTGAAATGGGGAATCTTGCGTACTTGTCGGTACAGGGAACTTGTCGGTACAGCTGCTGGTATGTTTTGATATTCGCCGTCTCCTATCTATCAAAGCTGTATCGACCTTCTTCTGTCGGTTCATAGAATTTGGCGAATATCCAGAGAAAGATTCAGTGTCTAGTTGGAGTCATTCTGGGAAGTTGGAGAACGAGAAAACGAGAATTTCTAAGAACAACTCTGGATCCAAACCCCCCCAAAAAAACGAAAACATCCGAAGACCAAAGTTATATGGGATTATATGGGATTATATGGGTTGATAAGGATATATATATATATTGTATGATATTATATGCCATTTTCACTTCCAACAGCAACACTCATTTCGGTGGTCCAGAGCCACGATTCGAGGTGAAGCAGAGAGGAGTTGTTGTTTCACCGTAGATGGCAATAGGCCACATGGGATCCTCCATCGTTGGTTGGGTTTTAGCAAATTTGAAACCAGAAATTTTGGAAAAAGCGATGATCAATGGATTGGTTTAGGGGAAAAATTACAGGAAACCATATAGATTTTCCCATTAGATATGGGGCTTTCCTGTAAATTTTCCCACAAACCAATCCATTGAGATGAAGGTCCTGTTTGGTGTACTGACTGGAGGAAGAACACATGGCAGGTCTCGAAACTGTGACTGCGAAAATGGCCTGTTCTTGTTAGACTTACAGAGGATGTGGGTCTTATCTATAGGGAGGCGGTGCCAAGTGCCTCATCTGCAGATATTTTCATCCCATCCCTCCATTCCCACCCATTCCCTACGTAAAACGCACCAGTAAGATAATACAGTCATGGATTGTCATGTTCCCCACTGACGAACTCATATTTTTCAGAGGGGTAGGTCAACCACCAACCAGTAAACCAGTTTTGGTTGCAACATGACTTGTCTTCGTTGCCGCCGGATCAGCTCAGTTTTGGCTTAGAGTCGCGTGATATTGGTGATGGTGCTTGGTGAGGCTCGCCCTGGAGCGCTGAACTTGAAACCAGACTAATGCTGTCTGGGGATTTAGCCAATAAGAATATATTGACATATAATATAATTATATATTATATATAATATATAATTATATGATATAATATATAATTATATTATATATAATATATGATTATATTATATATAGTATATAGTTATATTGTATATAATATACAATTATATTATATATAATATATAGTTATATTATATATAATATATGATTATATTATATATAGTATATAGTTATATTATATAATATATAATTATATTATATATAATATATAGTTATATTATATATATAATATATATAATTCAATTATATATTAATATATAATATTATATATTTATAATATATAGTATATGTTTATAGTATTTATATTTATAATATAATATAATATATATTTTGTTTTTTCTCATATTTATATTATATATAACATAATATATATATATATACACACACGAAAATCAGGTTTCAACATTGTTCAACCATTGTAGCCCTGCGAACAATTGGATGATTTGCCACAAGACATGCGATTTGAGCCTGCTGAAAGGTTTAGATGTGCGTTCAGATCTATAGGGAATCACAGATCAAATGGCAGGAAACATACTGTGGATGGAAGAAATCCTGCACCAGTTGATAGATGTGTTATCCCATGATAACCGAATTATTTGCAGTGTTTCATAGTTACCAATAATTAATTACCTAACTGGTGATGATGTCGCAACCATCCACAGTGGCCCCATGTTCCCAATCTAAAAATCACCGTTGATGGAGGAGAAAGCGAAGGAAGAAAGTCGTGGGGCTCTGTTTTTCTATCTGCTCTTCGCCTCGGGTCGCTGGGCTGCCTTGATCGAATCCAGTCTGGTGACCTTGCTGATCGTGTTTGCAACCATGAGTTAGTCCAAAAAGTTGTCATCAGAAACACATCAAAACACCATTTTTGATAGGAATGATTTGGAATGACAGTCATGAGATACCGGAATCCGGGACTTAGTAGCGACTGAGTGTAGCAATATGTAGCAATGCTGTCTGCAAAATCCTCGTGATGGGTCAATCATTGCTGGTCCCTAAACGGACGGCCCAAGCACTGGATTTTAATGTTTGCACAGCAATAATCACCACCATATTTTGATGGTGAAACCACCCACAAATATGTTCTTGATGGTTTATTGATGTTTATTGCAAAAAAACTCACATCAAATTTGTCATTTTGGTATGATATGTATTCTCACCATTGGGGTATGACAGGTATGATGGTACGATATTTTCTTTATGGTTTACTATTGTCCAGTCATTGGATTGAGGGAACATCTGCAGGAAACCATGGTTTTTACCATAAAAAATTGGGTTTTCCTGTAAATTTTCCCTTAAACCAATCCATTGATATGGCGAAAAACTCCCATAAAATGTCATGATCTCCACTGAGGTCTGGTTTTTTGGACCCGCGCCATGCCGACGCCCTTTCTGCCACTGGTCATGGCGCAGGAGTTCGGGCAGAGTTCCACCCAGATTGGCATGGTGTCATGGCATTTTGGTGGCTGAAAGATGGCATGTGAAATGTGGTGAATTCTGACGCAAACTAGGGGAAAAGCCAGCAGAAATGAGGGGAATTTCGAAGCACAAGAAGTGCTGCCACATTCACCCGAACGGAGCTTCAATCGCATCATATTGCAGCAAGAACTGGTGAAACATGGCACATGCCAGCAACATCAAAGACCACAAAACCACACCAAGACTTAGGGCTTTATGCTTAAACTGTTTGGAAGAGACGATTCTCAGATCAATATTTTGAGTATTTTCCACTGAATTTTGGCGAAAAATGATCTGTGTGAAGAATCCAGTCCCCCTAAATTTCAATCGCAAGAAACCGTCGGCTCCTCCAACTCATCGAGGTCATGTCTTCCACCCCGTTGGGTGCCTGCATGGCTACGCCCATTGCCGCGAGTCTGGTTGCATGGCGAAAGAGATCTGAAAAAATGCAAAAAAAACTCAAGAATGCTGGGAAGTCGGGAAGTCGGGAACTTATGTGTTTCTTATTCCCATAGGATCCATGTATGGTATATATGGTAACATGGATCCCATCAATATACCCCAGTCATGTTAGCATATATATACCAGCACCATGGATCCGTCATGGGATTGTTTTTGGCATTTGTGGCAGTCCCCCAGAACGGATCACGACAGATCCTCTCCACTCGATGGGAATATGGGATGGATCGATACCTGGGTATGAATCAATACCTATTAATACCATTTTTAGTGGGATGAACATCCATTTACCAGCTATTTTGATGTTCACCAGGGGTACAAGGTTTTGACACACTGCCACCTAGGTCCTCTTGGGCCCCCCAAAAAAATGCATCGGCCGAGGCTCGGAACAGTCGACGTATCGTGTATTTTCATTCTGTCTCGCTTCTGGTAAGGAGCTCAGGGCTGGATCAGAAATTTGAACAAATGCAGCAAAACCAACATGGAGGATGTACATAACTGTCATAACATGTCAAGAAACTTCACCTGCAAACTCTGGCTGGCTTAAAATTGCTGGACGGGATTCAAGCAATCACCCGTTTGAATTGGCACCGGACTTGTTTTGGAACCGCCACTGGACAGTCACTGGACATGGCATCACTGCTCGCTCCGAGTTCATTGCGTTCACCAGCCTCCTGATGGCGTGTTTGCAGCGCTTCCTCTCCACAGGCGGGATCTCCCCAGAACTTGGCAGCTGACCTGCCATGACCTGTGACCTGCCAGCCCACCAGGTGATGTCTTCCTGGCGGTGACCAGCATTTGTTTCACTCAGGGCATGGCATATGCTCTGTATATGGCAGCCAACACCACCTTGATCTCGCGGCGCTTCACAGGCGTGCCGGAGTATTTTCACATCACCAGTGACATCACCAGTGACCATTCAGAAATCGCAAGAAACTCTGCAATGCTCCATGGATGGAACATCCTGAACCTAGTGAGTCAGTGAGTTTTTCTCATTCGTGAAGTGGTTCCGGCTTCGTTTTTGGCGTTCCCGGGATCTAGGGCTGGAGCGATCCACATCCACTGCCATCCCACTCAGGGTTCTTTGATCTTGAAACCACATTCTTCTGCCTCAAACTCAAACCATGGGTATTTTCTGCTGAACAACCACCCAAAAAATGGGAATATTTCACTGTTCTGAGCCGACTTAGATCTCAAAAGCTTAGATCCCAATACCCATCAACCCATCATCTTAGGATATCTTAGGTCTGAGATCCGGGTGTCTGAAAATAGGGTATATACCCCCAATTCATGGCCAGTAAACAACAAACTTCATTTTCTAAAAACCATCCAAGTCTCTTCTTTTTGTTGAACCTTCGTCATGTCCAGGGTTTTCACATGTTTTCACATTTTGAAGAGCCATCTAACTCATCTAACATCATCTAACATCATCTAAACCAGATTTCAAGGCATCCTCAACCGGTGCAGCCTTTTCCGGGCTTCCCCTCCGCGTCAGCCGTGGCCTACGTGGTGGGCATGGCGGAGGTGGCTGTTGGCTTCGGTGCCCAACTGGGGCGCCTCGCTGGCGGAGCCCTCTACGACCTGGGCGGCTTCGGCTGTCCCTTTCTGAGCGCCGCAGTGTGCCCAGTGGGGTCATGGGAGAGCTGGTGATGTGATGATTTTCTGGAGATGTTGATATGAAATAACCATAGGTTTCTATGGTTTTTATAGGTCTTTTTATCTAAAGATCTTTAGATGATTTTAGATGATAGGAAATATAATGAAATATAGGATGGTAGATGGTTGAAGATGCTTGAGGTTTATGTGAGCCGAGAAATGTATAGTTTTGGGGGTGTGTCATTGAAAAGCTGGACGGGAAATCATATAAATCATATCATAATTATGATAGCAACATCCAAATAGAATTATCGAAAAGTGGGACACCTGGAAATATGTGGTAAATATATCATCTACAGTATAACATCCTGGACACTGTTCTATCTTTTACGGGGTTGCCGGAGTTGCTATATAACGATGAAGGATGATATTTGCATGGAACAAGTTTTTGCCAGGGGGACCTTCTGGCAGGGGTGGACCTGCAGTAACAGCAGCTATTGTGTTCAACAGGCTACCAGATGGGTACCAGGCTTGCCCGGCACCCATATGCTTCAGTTTTGTGGTTAGAAATCGATAGAAAGATCGAAACTGGATTATCCATGATTATCCCCAAAGAGCATGGTTCCAGATTTCTGACACATTCCCAAATGAGAAATATGAGAACACATTTTGATACATTTTCACAAAAAAGTGTTCCGAAATTCTCGATACATCCCAATATGTCATGCCTTTCCAAGGTGTTTGACAATCTGCGGCATCATCGGTTTCTCTTTCGAGAACCGCGGGATAGAGCATGGCAACCGTGCTGGTGACCATGCTTGCCATGGCAACCATGGTGACCATGGCTGCTGATTGGCAATGGCGGGGTATTTTTGGCTTGAATGGGGGAGTTGGTGACCAAATGGCCTATAAAAACTGGGGTCATTTTGTGGCTTCAGGAGATATTGTAAGATGGTCTATGACAGTCTATGACAGAGTCTCTCATAGCCTATTCAAATGGGCTTATAACATCTTATAACCCATAGGATCCATGTATGCTATATATGGTAACATTTACCATCAATATACCCCAAATGTTAGCATATATACCAGCACCATGGATCCTATGGGTTATAAGATGTTATCAGCGAGTAACAAAACGGGGAGCAGGGCCTTTGATTGTAGAGTTCCTTTTTTCCTTCGGTCGCCGAAAGTTCCCCGATCTAAGGCTGAAAAAGGTGCTGAGTTCCATTATTTTCCATTGATTTCCCCCAAACTTGGGATAGGTTGAAAAAAAAGAAGATTCAAAGATGGAGTATCCAGCTGGTTGGTGGTTTATGGTAGATATAACTATAGTTAATGTGGATTATAATGGTTTATAAACCAACAAACACTGGTTGGTGGTTTGGAACATTTTTGGATTATTTTTCCATTCAGTTGGGAATTTCATGATCCCAACTGACTTTCACTCCATCATTTTTCAGAGGGCTAGGTCCACCACCAACCAGCCAATTTCTGGTCCGTAAACTCTGCCATGGCCATCAAAGGTTGCGAAGCCAAAGTTCCCTGGAAAAGTTTCTGCTGTCCTGGCATCTGGCTGGCGACCTCTGGTGTCTTTTCGGCCTACATGACCACAGGCCGCTTTGTGTTGGGATGAGATGGTGAAATGCTGAGAAAATTGTGGAAGTCTAAAAATTCCAAACAGCGACATCCAACAAATGGTCCGTCTTTTTTTCAAGCTAGCCATGTGAATGTGGGGAAGAGCCTCACAAATTTCGCGGACACGTTGGATGACTGAGGGCCAGACAACTTGAGAGCACAGCCTGAATATCGGCCATATACCTATTGATTTGCTACATTAAGCCATGTTCTTCTTGAATTCTCTGTATGGTTGTTGGATAAAGCATTTTTTGTTGCTGAGTCATCTTAATATTTCTTGGCCAGTGTTATCTTGAAAGATCTTAAATGCAATCTTAAATGTACCTACTGTACTGTAGTTTACTGTAGTAGAATCGTTGTCAATTTGACGCCCTGGTTTAGTATTGGATCTTAATAACTATGGGCCATGGGGTCTCATTGCTGAGGGGCCCATTTTTTCTTCATTCGATCTCCGCATTCGCTGCCGATTC